CACTATGCCACCAGGGTTTCCATACACACAATGGAATACTGTATAGTTGCCCTTTATTCTTGCGTTCCTCTCAGTGTCCTCTCTTGCCTTGGTCATGTGCTGACTTATCACATATTGTGTATTGCTTTTCCCTTCACAATATTAACACGTCTTCTGTCTGTCTGGTGATTTTCCCTCCCGCCCCCTATAATCCCCTGGTAACCATCAAAGAGTGTTGTTGGGGGTTTTTTTCTTTTTCTGTGTGTAAACCTTTTGTTGTATCTTCACAATAGTGGTCTCATCTAATATTTGTCCTTTTGTGATCGACTTATTTCACTCAGTATAACATTCTCCAAATTCATCCATGTTGTGAGATGTTTCACGGATTCGTCGCTGTTCTTTATCATTGCATAGCATTCCACTGTGTGTGTACCACAGTTTGTTAATCCATTCATCTGTTGATGGGCACTTAGATTGTTTCCATCTTTTTACTATTGTGAATAATGCTGCAGTGAACACAGGTGTGCGTATGTCTGTTGTGTCATGGCTCTTATTTCTTTAGGGTGTATACCTAGGGGTGGGATTGGTGGATTATATGGTATTTCTATTTTTAGCTTTTTGAGGAAGCACCATATCGTTTATCATAGTGGTTGTGTTACCGCAGTAATGCGGGTTGGAGCCACCTGCTGCAGTAGCCAATTCTGAGACGGGTGAGGTGAGCTGCAAGAGGTTTATTATATATCGATGTATAGGAGACAGAGGGGAATAGATTCCTCCAAAAAACCCGTCTCCCCCACTGGAGATCAGCTGAAGGCTTATATAGGGGCAGGCTTATGGGTCTTAGAAGTTTGTGTTAGTTTCCCCTTGAGGTGGTCATGTTTCAGATGAGTTAAATCTTCTACTGGTATTCTTGGGGGTTATCTGGCGACGGTTTTGGGGATTATCTGGTGATATTCTTGGGGATTATCTGGCAACATCCTGGTTTTTCTTGTCCCAAGATGGGTGCTTTGTTCGGTTTTCATCCTTAGAATTATTATCACTTGTTTTCCACCCTCCAAGGAGGAATACCGGTTAATCTTAAACCTTTTGTAGAGACTGGAGAAACAAGATCATGAGACAATGTGGTGGTTAGCAATGGGGAGTAAGTAACAGTGAGCCAGGCCTGTGCAGCCTCTTCCAGTTGTACCATTTTATATTCCCACCGGCAGTGTATGATTTCCCTACAACTTATTTGTTATTTTCTGGGTTTTGTTTTGTTTTGTTTTTAATTAGTGCCAGTAACGTCGGGGTGAGATGGTATTTCATTCCAGTTCTCATTTGCATGTGTCTAATTGCTAATGATCATGAGCATTTCTTCATATGTTTGTTAGCTGCCCGAATGTCTTCTTTGGTGAAGTGTCTATTCATATCTTGCCCATTTTTTAATCGGATTGTTTGTCTTTTTATTGCTGAGGTGTTGAAGTTTTCTATAAATTTTAGAGATTAGACCCTCGTAGGATATATGTCGTAACCAAAATTTTTTTTCCCAATCTGTAGGTTCTCTCTTTATTCTTTTGGAGAAGGCTTTTGTTGAGCATAAATGTTTAATTTTTAGGAGGTCCCGTTTATCTAGTTCATCTTCTGTTGTGTGTGCATTTTTAGTTATGTTTGGTATTCTATTTATGCCATATATTAGGGCTCCTAGCATTGTCCCTATTTTTTCCTCCGTGATCTTTATAGTTTTAGGTTTTATATTTAGGTCTTTGATCCATTTTGAGTTAGTTTTTATGTATGTGTGAGGTATGGGTCCTGTTCATTTTTCTACAGATAGATATCCAGTTTTGCCTACACCATTTGTTAAAGAGACTGTCTCCCATTTAATGGACTTTGGCCATTTGTCGAAGATCAGTTGTCCGTAGGTGGATAGATTTACTTCTGGGTTCTCAATTCTGTTCCATTGGTCTATGTGTCTGTCATTGTACCAGTACCCAGATCACCAAGTCTTTCTGCCACAGGACTGCTAGGTGGGTTCGAACTGCCAACTTTTCAGTTAGCAGTCGAGTGCTTAACTACTGTGCCACCAGGGCTCCTCCCAGTGGTAGGAGACCTCTGAAGGTCTCAGCTAGGGATGGTTTCCTGCCCCTCTGTGGTGGATTAATTACTTTTGTGTGGTCTTTCTGGTCATGGTCTTGTAACTCCCACCCAGGTGATAGGGTAATTGTGGCCTACCAAGGGGATTGGTCAGTTGTACCTTAAAAGAGAGCCAATTCCAGAGCAGAGAGGAGGAGCCCACCACCAAGGATGGAGAGACCAGCAGCAGAGATCTGGCAGCAGGAAATGATGTGGTGGGCTTCCTGGCCATGGAGAGAGAAAGCTGAGTGCCTTTGGGCAGAGCCTGAGGGCCAGAGAGAGGCATGCCTGCAAGCATGGCTGGAGAGAGGCTGTCCTGATGGAAGAACTGTAGCTTGAGTGTTCCTGAGCCTGGATTATAGCTGTTATTTCCCTAATAAAACCCATAATTGTGAATATGGTCTTTGAGTTCTGTGTGGCCCCTGCAATGAATTATCGAACCCAGTAGAGAGTGCTGCGGGAGGGATGGTTGGTGTCAGAATTGGTAAAGATGGTGGAGAGAGGAGGCATGTCTGACCCCCGCCTCATAGGAATCAGCCTTGGGCCGTTGATCTTGATTCTCCTTCTGCCTAGTGAAGTTGGAGGAGGTCAGACACCCCCACCCCAAACCATTTTTATACCTTCCCACAGGGGGAGAGGATTTTACCCTCTCAACCAACCCAAATGGGTCCTCCCCTGTGCCCTGGGAGAGACAGGGATTGCTGACCTACCCCTAGTCATTGGAGGCTTTTGTTCTGTAGAGAAGGGTCTGGGCCGGGCTTTATGCTTCCATTGCAGCAGGGGCTGCTCGCTCCTGGCCTGCATCACCGAGGGAGGCTTTCTGCAGCCTCCTGCTCTGCACCCAGCTTTGTCGAGAGTGTGCCCGGTGCACGTTTGTGGAGAAGAATCTGTGAGTGGGGGCTAACTCCCCTTGTGTCTGTGGTTCCCAGGGCTTTTACACTCTCATGCTACCCCACACTTGGCTTTTAGCAGTTCTCTAAATGTTTTAGCTGAATTCTTCTTACCCATGTGTAGGGTGCCCAGTGGCTCTTCCTGCTGTAGCCTGTCACCAGTGAGCAAGAGCTCACATCTGGTCTCTCCTCTAGGGGCCTGTTTTCCTGGATTTCATTCTGCTCGGTTGCCTTGTGACCTCAGCTCTGATGAGTTCAAGAAAAGTAATGTTTGTAGTTTATCTGGCTTTTTCTTGTTAGGATGAATGTAATGCTCTCTACAACTTTCTACACCCTGGGAGAGGCCTAAACCTCCTTGATCTTATTTTGATCCTTACAAAAAAAGAATGTCCCACTAGATGCCAGGCCCTGTACTGAGTGACGGGGAGTCCAATTTTGTTCTGAGGAGTTCCTTCTCCTAGTATTGTATTTTGTCTTGATTGGAGGGTGATTCCAGAGCACATTACCTAAGCTTCCCCAATGGAAGGCTTTGCTTGGGATTTGAGTCTTTTTTTTTTTCAAATTATTTTTTGTTGTTGCTGAAAATATACACAGCAGAACATACACCAATTCAACAATTTATATATGTACGATTCAGTGAGACTGATTACATTCTTCAGGTTGTACAACCATTCTTGCCTTCCTTTTCCTAATTGTTCCCCCCATTAACATAATCTCACTGTCGTCTAAGCTTCCTAATTAACTTCTCAAGTTGCTGTTGTCAGTTTGATCCTATATAGATAGTTCTTTAAAAGAGCATACTGCTCAAGGCAGACATTCTTTACTAATTAAGTTAAACTATTGTTTGGTTTAAGGAAGACTTCAGGGGATATTTTTGGTTTAAGGTTTAAAGATTATCTCATAACAGTAGTTTTAGGGGCTCATACATCCTTAGTGACTCCAGAAAGTCTAGATTCCATGAGAATTTGAAATTCTGTTCCGCATTTTCCTCCCTTTTGATCAGAATTCTTCTATAGAATCTTTGATCAAAATGTTCAATAATGGTAGCTGGTCTCCATCCAGATCTGGTCTGATAGCAAAGGAAGCAAATTGTTCATGGAGGCAATTAGCCATGTCCTCCTCCTATCCTTATTCTCCTTCTTCCTCTTTTGCTCCAGGTGAATAGAGACCAATTATTGTACTTTGGATGGCTGCTTGCAAGCTTTTAAGACCCCAGGCACTACACAACAAACTAGGAGGTAGAACAGAAACACTAAATGTCATATTAGGCCAATTAACTGGGATGTTGGGATTTGAATCTTAAGTGAGTATCTCGGGGTGGAAAGAAAGGTTGGAGGTGAGTAGCATACTGCCCAGACTCTCTGCCCCTCGACTGAGACTGGTGTTCTCATTGTGTTGCTCTCTGGGGCCTTTGTTGCCTGTCCATTTCAAATCTGGTTCTCTAGGTTCATGTCAGTTTTGTGAGCCTTTAATATCCTTCCAATAAATTCTTTTTTGCTTAAGTTTACTAGAGTTAGTTTCTTTCATTTACAACCAAGGAACTCTAACTGATAAAAGAGGTAGAATTTTGCCTCTGGAAATTTATAGACCAAGTGGGGGAAACACAAAACATGGAAAGTAACTGAAATGCCAAATGCTGAGCAAAGTAGTACAGCCAAGATTGTACAGGCTACGGGTTGGGAAACTTGTCCATAAAGGGCCAGAGAGTAAGTATTTTAGACCTGCTGCCACATGGTCTCTAGCGACTACTCAGCTCTGCAGCTGTAGCACAAAAACAGCTTTGGACAATATGTAAACGAACGGGAACAACTGTGTTCGGTGAAACTATTTTCAAATACAAGCTGCTGTAGTTAGCCGACTCCTGGTGTAGTAATTTAAGTGTAGAGGAAGAATGGAGAAGGTCTGTATATTCGTGTGTAGTTCTTGGCCAAGGCCAGAGTTGCACATTCAAGGTTCAGGATCCTTGTGACTGAGCAGTGACTGACTGTGATGTAATTCTTTCTGCCTATTCGTCTCTTGCAGAAGCAAAACCAGCCCCAGAAATATTTGAAAATGAAGTCCTGGCACTGCTGAGAGACTTTGCGAAAAACAGAAACAAAGAGCAGAGACTGCGTGCCCCAGATCTCGAGTACCTCTTTGAAAAGCCTCGTTGAGCTGTGAACCACAGCCCGGCATGGGGCTTAGTCCCTGGACCCTCCCTGCTTGTGATGGATCCTGGCCTTGGCTTCCTGCTGCTTTTTAGATACGCAACCCACCCAGGACATGTAAATGTTCAGTGCGACTCATTCTAAAACTTTCCTTGTTCAGCTCTGAGCCTCAAAGGTGGTTTATTGATGTTACCCCCGCACTCGGCCTGGCTACTCTTATCTGGCTCCGGTCTCCGAAGGCCTCTGCCCCAGGAGGGCACTATTCGGAAAGTGATAGTGCTAGCTCCTTACTTCAGGGAAACGACGCAGCCCGCTGCTGTGCTGTGTGGATAGCGTGGAAAGCATCCCTGAGCAGCCCAGAGCTGTGCCCAAATGAATTTCCCCCACTTTATCCCTGTGTGGTCCTCTCTGCCAAGGAGGCTGATCCAACCCCCCTGAGCTGAATCCCTCAAAGGCACAGCAGACAGAATGAGGGCAACAAGCAGGAACAGTGTGGGCATGCTGCTTACAAGTCAGCATCCTTACGATCAGATTTTCTTAGAATGCTCACTGTGCAGACTGAAAGATAATAATGTTAAAGAATATTGAAAAAAGGAAATTCACAATTCCCCAACCCTCACACATAATTATTTTAATATTTTCTGTCCTTGTAGACTCATAATCACATGTTTATAAAGTTCTGCAAGGTCACAGTCATAGGCTTTATTTCCACATAGCACTGTAGCAAACTTTTCCCATATTTCTATAGCCTTCACAATTATTTGGAGCCCTGGTGGCGCAGTAGTTAAGAGCTCAGCTGCTAACCAAAAGGTCAGCAGTTCGAATTCACCAGCTACTCCTTGGAAACCCTATGGGGCAGTTCTGCTGTGTCCTGTAGGGTTGCTATGAGTTGGAATTGACTCGATGGCAGTGGGTTTGGGTTTGGCCACCATTATTTAAGTTGACAAACTAATAGCACATAAGAAATGATATGTCAGAATGAATTAGTTAGAAGTGTTTAGCCCTAGCACTAGAAGACTTCTGTGCGGCTAGTGGTGGTCTCGTTGGAGACCTCGAAGCTGTAATCCAGTCTAGTCAGAACATTGGGGCACCAGGCTGGGCCAGGAGCATCTAACAGTGTTGACCCGAAGAAGGAAGGCCAGATTGATGAACACGTGGTTGGAGATCACAAGAGGAGCTGCACGCATGGTGAAGTGCACGTTGCCAGCGTTGTTGAGCTATAGGTTTCCCACCGAGCTTCCTCCTGGGTCCTGGCTAAGGAGGGAAGGAAAAAAAACCAACCTCTACTTATATTATCTCATTATAGCCTCACAGCACTCCCGCAGAGAGGTGGTGTTACGCCTACTTTATAGATGAGAAAGTGGGCTCAGAGAGATTAATTTATCCTGGGTCATGCAGCTATTTAGTCAAAAAGCCAGAATCTAGCTCTGTCTGCCTCCAGTGGTCATGAACTTTCTACTGGAACACACTACCTTTACTGTTGGACATTTAGTGGAAATCTATGCTGAAAAAAGTTACGGCAAAGAAATCTGACAGTTGTGAGACATGACCTCTGTATCAAATAGGGGGTAAGAAGCTGCCAGATGCTTCCTGAAGTGAGCGGATGTGAACTTGGCCACTCAGGGTGGCTTTCATAAGCGGAGAAGCAGGGCAGGGCACCCGTTAAAAGAGTTCAGATCTGGCTCTGCTGGATAAATGAGTTGACCTGAGCCTCTGTTCCCTCATCTATAAAATGGAGGTACGAATGCTCCCCTCTCTCAAGCAGTTGAGAAGATCAGATGAAATAAAAGCACACAGAGCTCTCCCATGGCACCTAGTACATAGTAAGCACTCAGTAACGTTAAATGTCAGCATTTGGTCATGGCCTTGGCCTGAGGCTTAATGCACATCTCCTAACACAAATTGCCCGGCATGTGAGTTAAGTCACGCTAGCCATGCAGGGTAGTCACATCTGCAGATAGGAAAACGGAGCCTATTAAAGTAACCAACAGAGTGTCTTACTGGCCAGTGAAGATTAGAGAGAACATGCTGGTGACAAGACCTTTGATGGAGAACTCCATAGCACCCTCACCTAAGCCAAGGAATGGGCGTGAGAATTGGAAGGCAGAAGCAGGGAAGATGAGAAGATGTCACCCTGGCCATTGTCTCGGGCCTCCTTTGATGTACTGTGGGAAGAATGTTAAACGGGCAGAGGGTTTATATATAGAAGTCTATCTGGGCTGTACAACATGCACGTGAATTGGGCCGTGGCTTACGTATCCATCCTCAGCACGTTACACAGCAAGCCCCCGTAGCCAAGTATGTGGTTTGGGCCTATTTTTTTGGATCTGGAGTTTGATTCCTTCTTATCCTGATTTTGTCTTTAACATAATGTTCAACTGCTGCCACTTTCACCTGGGAATGGCATGCTTCTAAAGGAAATGTTTTCCGCCCAGGCTGCTGGCTTGTGTCATCCTTGAAAGTGAAAGATCTTGCTAACTTCAGCTGCTCAGTGTCAGGCCCAGGGGTACGATGTAAACAGTTTTTCCCTTTATTAGGCCTTAAATAAAACTAGGCCGGCCATAGTGTATTTTTTTTAAATTAAGGTGGCAAGAGCCAGCTGCCCCCCAAGGATCCATGATGAGCAGAAACTAGACTCATTCCTTTCACCCTGACGCCTCACTGCTCACTGACCTTGTTCCCAGCCTGTGCCAGGCAGATGAGCGTCTGGTTCTGCCCTGCCCCATCCGAAGTGGTCTCGTGAGCCCCATTGCACAGGCACCCGAGTGACACAGCAAACTGGGTCAGTCACGGCTCTTCTCTTCCCATTACTTCCTCTCTTGATCATCATAAATCTAACCGTGTGCCCAAGCTCTCTGCACCTTAGGTGGAGCATCTCGGGGGGGTCGTCCAGAAGTCACCTGGCCTGTCTGGCTCCAGCCCAGGGTGGCACCAGTGCACACCTGGTTCATATTTTCAAACGTCACCAGGGAAAGAGATTCCACTGGGATAGTTGAGATTCTTGCATTTATCCTTCAGTTCATCTGCTATTGTGGCTAGATGTGGAGAGCAGGATTTGGTGATAAGGAAGCTGGAACCAGCTTATATGGCAAGGCAGGTCTGTGAGCCTTTTGAGCAGACAAAACCAAAATCAAACCCATTGCCCTCAAGTTGATTCTGACTCATAGCGACCCTGTAGGTCAGAGTAGAACTGCCCTATAGGGTTTCCAAGAAGCAGCTAGTGGATTTGAACTGCTGACCTTTTGGTTAGCAGCTGAGCTGTTAACCACAACGCCACCAGGGCTCCTCAGATACTACAAGGATGTAGTAACAAGGAGGGCTTTGAGCAGACAGCCCCCCTTATTAGCACATCCTTGTAGTATCTGAGGATGGTGGACTCACCGTCCAGCAATGTCAAGTTGATAACGCTGATCAACTCTGTGTCAAGCCACCTCAGATTCCCAGTGAGTTCTCTGGGAATGAGGAACAGTGTTAGAATCTGCCCAGGTAAAATGGCACTGGTAGGCCAGGTGGCTTAAGGCGGGGAGTAGTCTTTGCAGCTCTAAGAAACAGATACTTGTTAGCAGTCCCTTAGGGCGGATTGTAGAAAAGTTTTAAGTTATCCAAGACAATGTCAGGCTTCAGAGAAGACACTAGAGAAGTCTAATAACTCACTACTGGTTATCACAAAAGAAGAGCCAGAGTCTTTTGTTGGCTCCCAGGTCTTGTCTGAACCCAGGAACTGCCAAAGAGAAAAATGTTTTCTTTTCAAAAGGGCAGTGCGGACACATCGTTTTATCTAATGGTGCATTACAGTGTGGCACAGTGGTTAAGAGCTACGGCGAGCTATGGCTGTTAACCAAAAAAGGTGGGCAGTTTGAATCCGCCACCTGCTCCTTGGAAGCCCTACGGGGCAGTTCTACCCTGTCCTGTAGGGTCACCATGAGTCGGAATCGACGGCAACGGGTTTGGTGTTTTTTTTTAAATATATTACAACCTGTAGTTTTTGTAAAGCAAATTATGACGTTAAGGTGCGTGTTTTGTTTTCCAGTGTATTTTAGGGTATTTGTTAGTTTGTTGTTAGATGCCGTCAAGTCAGTTCCAACTCATAGCGACCCCACGTACAACAGACCGAAACACTGCCAGATCCTGCAGTCGTTGCTATGTTTGAGCCTATCATTGGCAGCTACTGTGTCAGGTTATTTAATTAGTACTTAATGTTCACATGGGGATACCCTGGAACACACGTCTAGGGGAAATGGAGTGGAATCAAGCCTAAGTTAGAATCCTGGATCTACCATTGATCCGCTGGGTGATCTTGGGCAAGTTATTTAACGTCTCTGTGCTTGTGTTTCTCATCTATAGAAAGAAAAGAAACCTAACTTTCTATGTGGATGAAGGATTCAACTAAGTAATGCATATAAAGTGCTTAGCACGGTACTTGGTGCCATAATAACCCTTCATGGGAATAAGAGCTAACATTTATTGTTTGCTTACCAGGTGCCCAGCATTTTAAGAGTTTTACATGTGTTATATTGTTTAATCCAAGGAGTCCTTAGGTCTCAGATGAAAGATTAGTGGTTCAAATCCACCCGGAGGAACCTGGGGAGAAAAGCCTGGCAGTCTACTTCTGAAAGATAACAGCCACTGAAAACCCTGGTAGAACCCAGAGCAGTTCTATTCTGAAACACACGGAGTCACCATGAGTTGGAATCAACTCTGTTGGCAACTGGTTTGTCATTTAATCCTCGCACAACACTATGAGATCGGTACAATTATTATTCCCATTTTACAGATGAGGAAAGTGAGGCTTGGTGAAATTAAGTTACTTGCTCAAAGTGACAGGTAGGAAATGGTGGAACTAGAATTTGAAGCCAGGTAGTGGCAGGCCTCTAGGGCCCATGCCCTTAGGCACCATGTGCCACACTGTCTCCAAACATGAAAACCATCATCATTATTCTTCCTCTGCTGATGGCTTCTCATCATGGATCTGGTCTTGATCCATGGAGGACAACGGCTGGTGCGAGTGCCCAGTCCCGGCAACCACCAGTCCGCTGTCTGTCCCGTGGATTTGCCTATTCTCGGTATTTCATATAAATGGAATCATACAATGTTTGACCTTTTGTGTCTGGCTTCTTTCAACATAATGTTTTTGAGGTTCACGTCTTGGTACTTCATTCCTTTTTATGGCTTAGTTAATAGTTCATTGTATGTATGTACCACAGTTTGTTTATCCATTCATCTGTTGGTGGATGCATGGTGGATTTGTAACCTCTCCTTGTATCCGCGCTCTTTGCCATTAACTTTGCTGGACCTTTACCCTGACTTTGTGGTTGGCCATGGGCCTTGCTTTGGCCAATGGGATGTCAGTCATCATAATACAAGCAGAGTCTGCACAATGGGGCTTGCCCTTGCTCTTCAAACTCAGCATATCCAAAACCGAACCAGGCTATTCCCCTTTCCATCCCACCCACCAAAAATGCCCCAGTCCTCCTCTAAAGCCAGTCTGAGTGAATGGCACCAGCATCCATTCGGTTGCTCAAGCTGGAAACCTAGAAGTGTCCTAAACCCTCCCTGTCTTTCCATGTGCATTGGCAAGGCTTGTTGACTTACCGCCAAGATGGCTATTGAATCCATCCACTTCCTTCAGTCTCCAGCACCAACTCCATGGTCAAAGCTACTTTCATCTCTCCGCTGGACAACTGCTACAGCCATCTGACCTGCCATCATCTGGCATCTTTTGAATCTGTTCTCTACCTGCAGCCCTGAAATCATCACATTTCAATACACTGGTCTGACCATGTCTCCCACCTCTTTAAAACCCTTTAATGGCTGACCATTGCTCTCAAGAAGAAAATGCAAATCCTTAACATTACCTACAAGGATTCTGCATGGTCTGCCCACATCTTAAACCTCATCTTGGCCAGGCTGTCTCTCAGGTTTTCTGCTCCAGCCTCTAAGATGTTCCTACAACCTCTCATCCTCTCTGCAGTCACTCCTACCACAGGGCGTTTGCACATGCTGTTCTCTCTGCCCAGAATGTTCTTCCTTCCTGTCCTGTTTTTACATGGTAAACCTTCACATCTCCGCTCAGGTGCCACTTCCTCTGAGAAGTCTTCCCTAACCTCTCAATTTTAAATCCATGCGATGATTCTCTGATTAATGCCTGTCTTCCCACTGGACTTGAAGCTCCGAGAGGACAAGGACTAGATTGATTTTTGTTCACCCTTATATCCCTAGTGCCTGGCACATCTCTTGGCACAGTGAAGGTGTTCCTAATGATTTGAGAAATTAGTGAAAAAAAGATCAGTCAGTTGATGGCTCAGTCTGATTTCAGAACTCAAAGCAAACCTTACCAGCAGTGAGAGCGAGCGCTGGGTCTGCAGGAGCTAGAGGCTCTTGGGCCTACCAGATGTGATGAGGTTTCCCTCTCAGATTCTGATGATTCGGTGTGCAGGAGGGGCTGGTCCCAGCTTCCCAGGTGGCTGGATGCCATTGGGCTGGGAAGAAGGGCTTTAAGAAATTAGATCTGTCTCTCGCGCTGTGGAAAGTGGAGAGTTCTTGGTTCTCTGCCCAGGCCTCTGGAAAGCTGGAGATGTTAAAAGAAGTAAACTCCCAGGAAATAGATGGTAGACATGCTACATACATCACAGGGTTCTGAAGCTTGGGGCAGGAGGAGGAAGGCTGGGGAAGCAGGAATAGCTGGGAATCCTAAGTGTCTTTGGGAGACGCTCCCCCACTGCCTCTGCCTTCGCACTCCGCATGCAGTCTGGTGGCCTTCCTGGACTCTTTCCCCACCGCTGAGCCTCAATACATCTACATGTTCTTTCTACCTAGTTGCAACCTTCCTACTGTTTTCCCAGACTGGAATGTTCTCTGCCTTTCTCACAGGCAGGGAGGGAGGTTACCTTTACTGAGGCCTACCAAGGAGGGGGGTGAGGGCAGTGTTGGTTCAGTGGTAGAATTCTTGCCTTCCGTGTGAGAGACCCGGGTTCGTTCCTTGCCAATGCACCTCATGTACAGCCACCACCCATCTGTCAGTAGAGGCTTGCATGTTGCTGTGATGCTGAACAGGTTTCAGCAGCGTTTCTAGATTAAGACAGACTAGGAAGAAAGGCCTGGCATTCTACTTCTGAAAACTAGCCAGTGAAAACTATACATCACAATGGTCCGATCTGCAGCCAGTCATGGGGATGGCGAGAGACCAGGAAGGTTTCACTCTGTTGTGCCCATGGTGACCATGAGTTGGTGAACAGCAACTAACAAGAAGAAGTAGGGGCCCTATGCTTTCCCTGTGTTATCTCATTCATGCAACAAGCCTCCCTTCAGGGGAAACCAAAACTCAGGGAGGCTTGCCCAGGGTCACACAGCTAAGAAGCAGCAGGATCAGGATTTAAATCCAGGTTTCCTAACCCTAGGACTTGGGTACTTCCCACCACCCCACTGTGTCCCAGACTTACCCAGTTCACACATGGCTTTCATGAGCTTTGCAATATCTTTAGGAGCCCTGGTGGTGCAGTGGTTAAGTGCTTGGCTGCTAACCTAAAGGTCAGTGGTTTGAACCCACCAGCTGCTCTGTGGGAGAAATGTGTGGCAGTCTGCTTCCATAAAGATTTACATCCTTAGAAAATCTATGGGGCAGTTCTACTCTGTCTTATAGGATCACTATGAATCAATTGACTCAATAGGAATGAGCAATATCCTTGTACCATCTATACTAATATTTACTTACTATCTGTTAAATTGAGTCCCTTTTTATTTAAATGAATTTTAAAAGGAAACTTTTCATAGTAACTGTAAATAGAAAAACAATAGCAAAAATGTCACTTGCCAAAATTGTTAGATGCCGTTGAGTTGGTTCGGATTCTTAGCAATGGTATACGTGCAACAGAACGAAACAGTGCCCGGTCCTGCGCCACCCTCACAATCATTCTTCTGCTTGAGCTCATTATTGCAGCCACTGTGTTAATCCATCTCTTTGAGGCTCTTCCTCTTTTTTGCTGATTGTCTGCTTTACCAAGCATGATGTCCTTCTTCAGGGACTGGTCCCTCCTGATAATGCCCAAAGTATGTGAGGCAAAGTCTTGCCATCCTCGCTTCTAAGGGGCATTCTTGCTGTACTTCCAAGACGGATTTGTTTGTTCTTCTGGAAGTCCATGGTGTATTCAATATTCTTCACCAACACCATAATTCAAGGGCATTGATTCTTCTTCGGCCTTCCTTATTACTTGTCCATCTTTCACATGCATACGAGGCAATTGAAAACACCAGGGTCACCTTAGTCCTTAAAGTGACATCTTTGTTTTTTAACACTTTAAAGAGATCTTTCGCAGTAGATTTGCCCAATGCAATGCATCATTTGATTTCTTGACTGCTGCTTCCATGTGCGTTGATTGTGGATCCAAGTAAAATGAAATCCTTTACAACTTCAATCTTTTCTCCGTTTATCATGATGTTGCTTATTGGTCCATTTGTGAGGATTGTTGTTTTCTTTATGTTGAGGTGTAATCCATACCAAAGCCTATGGACTTTGATCTTCATCAGTAAGTGCTTCAAGTCCTCTTCACTTTCAGCAAGCAAGGTTATGTGATCTGCACATCACAGGTTGTTAAAGAGTCTTCCTCTAATCCTAACGCCTCGTTCTTCATACAGTCCAGCTTCTCGGATTATTTGCTCAGCATACAGACTGAATAGGCATGGTTAAAGGATAAACCCTGACGCACACCTTTCTTGACTTTAAACCATGCTGCTATCCCCTTGTTCCGTTCGAACCACTGGCTGTTAGACTAAGTTCAGGTTCGTCATGAGCACAGTTAAGTGTTCTGGAATTTCCGTTCTTCATAATGTTATCCATAATTTGTTATGATCCACACAGTCAAATGCCTTTGCATAGTCAATAAAACACAGGTAAACATCTTTCAGGTATTCTCTGTGTCTTAGTCATCTAGTGCTGCTATAACAGAAATACCACAAGTAGACGGCTTTAACAAAGAGAAGTTCATTCTCTCTCAGTGCAGTAGGCTAGAAGTCCAAATTCAGGGCATCACCTCCAGGGGAAGGCTTTCTCTCTCTGTTGGCTCTGGAGGAATGTCCTTGTCATCAATCTTCCCCTGGACTAGGAGCTTCTCCGCACAGAAACCCCGGGTCCAAAGGATGTGCTCTGCTCCCAGCACTGCTTTCTTGGTGGTATGAGGTCCCCCGCTCTCTGCTCACTTCCCTTTCCTTTTTATCTCTTGAGAGAGAAAAGGTGGTGCAGCCCACACCCCAGGAAAACTCCCTTTACATTGGATCAGGGATGTAACCTTAGTAAGGGTGTTACAATCCCAGCCTAATCGTCTTTAACATAAAATTACAATCACAGAATGGAGGACAACCACACAATACTGGGAATCATGGCCTAATCAAGTTGACACATATTTTTGGGGGACACAATTTAATCCATGACACTCTGCTTTCAGCCAGGATCCATCTGACATCAGTAATGATATCCCTTGTTCCACGTCCTTTTCTGAATCCAGCTTGAATTTCTGGCAGTTCCCTGTTGATGTACTGCTGCAACCACTTTTGAATGCTCTTCAGTAAAATTTTACTTGTGTGTGATATCAATGATATTGTTTGATAATTTCCACATTCTGTTGTATCATCTTTCTTTGGAATGGGTACAAATATGGATCTCTTCCAGTCGGTTGGCCAGGTAGCTGTCTTCCAAATTTCTTGGCATAGACGAGTGAGCACTTCTAGTGCTGCATCCATTTGTTGAAACATCTCGTTTGGTATTCTGTGAATTCCTGGAGCCTTGTTTTTCACCAATGCCTTCAGTGCAGCTTAGATCTCTTCCTTCAGTACCATCGGTTCTTGATCATATACTACCTCCTGAAATGATTCAATGTTGACCAGTTCTTTTTGGTACAGTGACTCTGGGTATTCCTTCCAACTTCTCTTGATGCTTCATGCATTGTTTAATATTTTCCCCATGGAATTCTTCAGTATTTCAACTTGAGGCTTAAAGTTTTTCTTCAGTTCTTTCAGCTTGAGACATGCCTTTTGGTTTTCTATCTCCAGGTCTTTGCACATTTCTTTATAATACTTTACTTTGCTTTCTTGAGCAGCCCTTTGAAATCTTCTGTTCGGCATTTTTACTTCATCGTTTCTTCCTTTTGCTTTAGCTACTCTATGTTCAAGAGCAACTTTCAGAATCTCTTCTGACAGCTCTTTTGGTCTTTTCTTTCTTTCCTGTCTTTTTAATGGTCTCTTGCTTTCTTCATATATAATGTCCTTGATGTCATTCCACAAGTCATCTGGTCTTCGGTCATTAGTGTTCAGTGTGTCAAATCTATTCTTGAGATGGTCTGTAAATTCAAGTGGGATAGTCAGGGTTGTCCTTTGACTTTCATGGATTTGTTCTAATTTTCTTCAACTTCAGCTTGAACTTGTATATGAGCAATTGATGGTCTGTTCCACAGTCAGCCCCTGGCCTTGTTCTGACTGATGATATTGAGCTTTTTCATTGTCTCTTTCCACAGATGTAGTCGATTTGATTCCTGTGTATTCCATCTGGTGAGGTCCACCTGTATAGTTATCGTTTATGTTATTGAAAGAAGGTATTTACAATGAAGAAGTCATTGGTCTTGCAAAATTCTGTCATGGGATCTCTGGCATCACTTCTGTCACCAAGGCCATATTCTCTAACTACTGATCCTTCTTTTGTTTCCAAATTTTGCATTCCAACTGCCAGTAATTATCAGTGCATCTTGATTGCATGTTTGATCAATTTCAGACTGCAGAAGTTGGTAAAAATCTTGTTTCTTCATCTTTGGCCTTAGTTGTTGGTTCGTAAATTTGAGTAATAGTTGTATTAACTGGACTTCCTGGTAGGCATATGGATATTATCGTATCACTGACAGCATTGTACTTCACAATAGATCTTGAAATGTTCTTTTTGACTATGAACGCAGTGCCATTCTTCTTCAATTTGTCATTCCCGGCATAGTAGACCATATGATTGTCTGATTCAAAATGATCAATACCAGTCCATTTCAGCTCACTAATGCCTAGGATATCAATGTTTGTGCGTTTCATTTCATTTTTGACAGCTTCCAGTTTTCCTAGATTCATCCTTTGTAAATTCCTCGTTCCGATTATTAATGGATATTCACATCTGTTTCTTCTCATTTTGAGTCGTGCCACATCAGCAAATGAAGGTCGGGAAGCTTGACTCCATCCACATCATTAAGGTCGACTCTACGTCGAGGAGGCAGCTCTTCCCCAGTCGTCTTTGAGTGCCTTCCAACCTGGAGGGCTCATCTTCCGGCACTATGTCAGACAATATTCTGCTGCTATTCATAAGGTTTTTACCAGCCAGTTTTTCAGAAGTAGACTGCCAGGTCCTTCTTCCTAGTCTGTCTTAGTCTGGAAGCACAGCTGAAACCTGTCCACCAAGGGTGACCCTACTGGTATTTGAAATACTGGTGGCAAAGCTTCCAGTGTCCCAGCAACATGCAAGCCACCACAGTACAACAAACTGACAGACACATGGTGGTTGCCAAAATTAAAAAGGTAAATATAAAACAAATAGATAAAATATTACTGAATTTTTCCTAATGTTTTATTATGAAGAT